TCAGATATTTGGTGAAAAATGATATTTCTGGACATTCGTGCAGGTTCGCTTATAGTTTATTGAAGAGGAAGAAAATGGACAATGAAATTTTCTAATTAATTAATGGCAGCAGATTACATATTATTTGTATATAGAAAACCTTTTGTCAACCATACTACTTATTTATAAACTGAATAGTCTTCTGTTTTTTTTTTCGAAAAAAAAACGATCTTATTTGTAGTGAACCGATAATTAACAGTTATTAAGAATTATAAGCGAAGAAGAATAATAGCTAGCAGTGGAAACAAGGACTCGCGTTTCGTCCTATTTGAGATTCGTCAGCTGGATGTACCTGCATCTCAAGGTTAATGTTCCCTCTGGGACTCGAACCCAGTACCTTTCGCTTCAAACACCATCGCATTATTCACTCAGCTACTAAGTCCTGATAGCCATTTGCTCTTGCAACTGTATTCCACTGCTAGCCACTATCCATCTTTGCTTATAATGCTTGTATATTAAGACAATATCGAGGCAGTACACACAGTATGCACATATGCCAATTAGAGACTGACCAGTTGCAGTCCTAAAACATCTATGGGAAGATCCAAACAAACAATACTAAGTGAAATTAATAAGAATGTCACAATATTCCTATTTTTTGGTATTCTGTTCAACTTCAACAGATGATTGAGCTGGAATCATAGTGAGTTTCGACTTTATACCCTCGATAAATGATCATAAACGTTGTGCTGTCTTTTTTTTCTACCTGTTCTGATTTATTTGATCGAGATGAAATAGAAAATAATATGACGATACTGTTTTCCGCCAATCGATAGGAAAATGTAAATTAAACTTAAATCAGTCCATAACTTTTAATACTATTAAAGGCAGATAATTCATTCCTACGACTAGAGACTATGTTACGTAGATATTCAGGCTACTATAGTTGTTAGGCCTAACGAGTAAATTATAATAAACAGTTTGGTATTGTTGATACGAATTGAGATGTAGAAGCATTATCGTCGAAAACGAGCTTTTTTATTACTTTCGTGAATAAAACAAAGATCAAGAACCAATCTAAGTTAGATATTCATTATAAACCAGATATTATTAGATAGATGCTTCATCTTAATATGAAACTCCTCAACAGTGCGCATCCACAACCTTATCTAGGATCGAACCTAAGAGTCAGGTATATGACGACCGTTTGATCTTTAAGTCACTAGGCACAAACCTAATTGTTTATATAACTAACTTAAATTAATTTGTGATATTGTACAGCCATCCGTCATTGTCTTCCATTAAGAGCTGCCTCACACTCGACATATTTGAACTCCATCCGTCAAGGCTGTTGACAGGAAACCCTGAAATTTCTTCTCGGGATTAGTCCTTACTGAACTCATGGTAACCACAGAAACTTCGTAGAGAATTTTACATGCTTCTGAGATCATAAACTGACTCAAATCAGATAATCATTGAAAATTAGAAAGAAGTGTACAGCTGTTCTGTTCATGACATAACCTTGGAGATTACGCCAGTCAATAAGAAAACAACAAAGATGAATGACTGATTCGTGGTGTTAAAAACAGGTTTTAAAATTTAAGATTAGAATTTATAGTTAATAAGTAAAGTCTAAGACTACCCGCTATGATTAAGATGTAGAAATTAGAGCTTAGACCTAATGTTTCAGATTAGAATGCACATATAAAATGTAAGATTACGATTGGGATAAATAGTTTATATTTAAGATTTACAATAGCTATACATTCACCGTAAAAGCTAGTTCTAAGTAATTACCTTCAATCACAAATCCGAACTTTAACTGTAACGATGATTTATAAACTCTACATTATAATACTTACTTACTTACGCCTGTTACCCCTCGTCTAGGAGCATAAGCCGCTCACCAGCATTCTCCATCCAACTCCGTGCTGAGCCTTCCTTTCCAGTTCTTTCCAGTTGTGATTCATCCTTTTCAGATCGGCTTCTATTTCCCGGCGTAGTGTGTTCTTTGGCCTTCCTCTTTTCCTCTTCCCTTCCGGATTCCAAGTTAGGGATTGATTCGTGATGCACATTGGTGATTTCCTCAATGTATGCCTGATCCACTTCCAACGTCTTTTCCTAATTTCCTCTTCAGCTGGAAGCTAGTTTGTCCTCTCCCATAAAACACTGTTGTTGATAGTATCCAGCCAATGGATGTTGAGTATTTCCCGTAGACAACTGTTTATAAATACTTGTACCTTCCTGATGATGGCCGTAGTGGTTCTCCACGTTTCAGCTCCATACAGTAGGACTGTCTTTACGTTTGTATTAAAAATTCTGACCTTGAAATTGGTTGAGAGTTGTTTTGAGTTCCTACATTATAATACTACAAGATTATTACCAACCCTGACCAAAAACGATAATACCATAGTCCTAAATTCTAATCGTAAAGCCTAATTCTCAGATATAAGAATAGAATGAAGTATTTAACAATGATTTTTACAGTATGGAGTTGTGGAGATTGTTGAATTTCATTTAAATCATGAATTAATCTAAGTTAAACCTCTATTAAAATCCTGGAGGCATTGGGTGGTCATTTCGTCCTAGTATAAAACTCTCCAGTTTTTCACATTTGCACGCGAAACCAAAGGTTCTGGATCCGAGATTGTAGATATGGACTACTGAAGAGTCCCATACTAAAACAAAACAGATTTTCATTGCTTTTACTAGTGGCCTAACTTTGATTGATTTATGATTCCAATGAAGTAATTTTGTCATCAAATTTAATTTCCTATGCTCAATAGACAATATTCTGTCTAGATAATAATGTCATAGCTTTGTGGCGACTTAGTAAACTTCATTATTGCCTCACTCTTCTTAGTTTCACTTCCAAGATCATTATATCATATATGATATATAACCATAGAATTAGTTTTTTTCCTCTCATCCCTTTAGCTACTACTCACTAACTAACTTATTGACTTAAATACTCGTTCAATTTCTTATTCCAAATCTAAATTCATTACATACTACTTAATTTTTAAGTACATTACATTACATTATTACTCAAATAATATTTTACATTGTAAATGTAATTACAGAAAATTAGATTAGGTACATTAGGAGAAAAGGTTGTTCATTTATAGTTTTAAATGTGATTATAGATTGTTGTTTTTGTCCTTTAGAAACTCCCCCATACACACACACAGAGAGACGACGATAACGTCATCATGATCACCATTCTATGGATAATAGATTTTCAATTCATTAAGTGGAAGTAAGAAGACATTTTTACTGGTTTCCCTTTTTTTGAGAAGTGAAAAAACTGGTAAACTATTGCCTAGAGGATAAGTAAATAGGTATGGGAGTGATCTAGTATTGAATAGGAATGAAGAGAAGTTAGGATGAGAGGAAGAAGGAGATTTAAGAAAACATACACACACACACACACACGATAGAAACAATAATGAAATTGAAAATTAAATGAAAGGAAAAAAAGCAATCGGATTTTCTTCTTACAGTACAAAAGAGAAAACAAAAACAGAGAAAGATACATTGAATAAGAGAAACAATTTTTTTATTATTGAATTACTTTTAAACTATGATTATCTATGGTTTTGTTCCCATGTCATAAATGTGTATGTGTAATGAAATGAAAATGAAAGAAATATGAGTTGATCTCTCCCTCCCTCTCTCTCTCTCTTTATCTCTTTCCCTCTCTTTGTTTCTCTGCATTGAATACTCATCAACTGTACAAATAAATGATGTTTACAAATAAAGTATTTGTGTACAACTAATTAATTATTGAGTAATTATCAATGTTATGTATGTCAAGTTCTTCTTTATATTGATGATCAACTTTTATTTATCTAGTTGTAATGTGTTCTAAGTGACCTGACATTGCATGAACTCTGTTGAGATATTAGATGATTGAAGATGGTCAACTGAAAACATTTGATCTACATTTTGTGCAGGTTGATATTCATTAGCTACATGTATCAATTCATGTGTAGTTAATAGAGGTTAGTCAATAATAGTAATGATCCATGTCGAGTGTGAGGTAGCTACTTACTGAAGACAATAAGAGATGGTTGTGCAATATCGTGGATTGATTGGAGTTAGACATTAACACCGTTGGATGCCGGCTCAGTAGTCTAGAGGTTAAGCGCGTACGAGACTGAAGGTTCTGGTTTCGAAACCAGCGTGCATGATCGTGGATGTGCACTGTTGAGGAGTCCTATACTCGGGCAAAACGGCCTTCCAGTGCTGCCAGCTTTTCAATGATGATCTAACATTGATCGGTTCATGATCTCAATTAAAAATCAACAATTTCCACAACCCTATACTGATAATACTACAAAAGTTAAAATTCCTGCAAACTTTTGGATATATCTTTTGATCATCGGGTTACCGTAATTCATTAGCAAATTACAACTTGATAGGAATGCATACCAGTTCAAATCGAGTTATTTAATAATGCCATAACGATAAGAAGGAATCAAGGTGGAGGCAATATTCATCACAGATTGATTGCGTCTGCAATACCATTAACCCAGTGCATCTAACGGTCGTGGAATTATAGTGATATCTGACTTCCTTGGCTCGATCTATTGCTGGGTTGTAGAGGAGTCACACATTAAACTGGAATAACTGCCTAGTGCTTCTGAGATTCAGATAGTACTATTAATAGGGTCAATTCGAGACGAATCTCGCTCATAACCAATAATAGCTAGTTTTACTAAAAACACGATACTGAAAATGTGATACAGGACAAATGAATGAAATAAAAACTGCGGGAAAGATTTAAAAGACAAAAGATAAATACAACTGAAGAGTTTCCATCTAAATCACTTATTATCTCCGATACTAGACTTCATTCAAAAAGTACAACAAAGGTATCTATAACATCTCAATCGAATAATGTGAATACTATCAAACTACTTATGTTGGTTAACAGTAGTATAAATCGTTTAAACATAATTTAATAATTCATTCAATTTTTTTTGTGTATGAAAAATACTAACCATTTATTTACTTACATTGATGAGTACAGTCAATGCAGATATTCCATCCTTTGACAAATTACATGATGTTAAATTAAGAGTTGAAATATTTGGGACATGACGTAAAACTCGGCAAATTTCTTTTAAAGAAATTTAATAAAAAAAGAAAAAAAAGTTTTTTTTGAAATTTATGAATAAAATTATTTTCCTTCAAATAATTGATTAATGTCACAAAAAAACTGCTGGGTAATAGCTGATTTAAATCTGTTACGTAACACTTGACTTTCATTCAGTTTATAGCTGATTCTAATCATAAATACCCGATTTATATATAACATAAATATCACAAATCTCTTGTACAAGTCGATTTATTCCATAATCGTCTCACGTTATACAGTTACTGGGTAAGGATAATCAGTTTATTGTTTAGTACAAATTACAGAGTTCTTCCGTAAAATATGAAAACTATACATTAAATACTTCATTTGCAAATCCTCCCTTCGAGTGGATCACATTTCACTGTTCCTTCATTGGTATTACAATTACTCTTTGTTTATATTCCCGTTCTTTTCAATTCGTTCATCTCAACCTTCTACTATTAGATATTTCACTTCTGATTGGTATTACATATTACTAATGTCTGTCGACACAAATAGCATACATCAAAACTAGTTAAACTATCGGAGATGTCTAACTAAATTGATAGATTCAATGCCCCCGAATGCCTTGGTACGATCGAGAGTGAGGAGAGTCCGCTCTCCCTCTAGAAATTTTCTCACATGGCCACGCGCAAACAGCCTATGTCAGGGAAGTCCTACTCACTGTCTTCTCGCACCAGGGGTCCTGTTTACGAAATTGAGAGGACGAAAAGCGAATGTCCGGCACTTTAACCGGGTTGGTGGACTCGGAAGTTCCACCTGGGGCAGTTGGAAAACCCTGATTCCAGATCAATGGTGCACATGGGCCCCGGTATCCTGAAGAAACAAATGGAGTATAAACCAACTATTTGTCACCGGCTACCATGAGACTGCATCTCCTCACGATGCTCCATTGACTGCCTTGTGGATCAGATCTTTAGGTCAAAGGCTCCAGGTGTGGCCCCCTAAGAAAACCACTTGCTTCGTTTTGAGCACCCGGACAGCATCACAGCCCTCACATAAATCAAATGAGATTTGTGGGGCGCACATATATCTGATGCTTTTTTCGTACCAATATTTATGTGTTTAAATAAATAAATTAATCGTGGGTGTATAAACTCTCTGTCTTCTCCTAAACTGTGAGATTAAAATAGCTTTATATCTTTCTTGTCACCAACTAATTTATTCTTCCTGTACTATATTCTTATACACAATCTTTTTTTTATATATTACCACCATTGAGGTAACTACTTCTATGAATATGGTGTTCATCTGGTTGTGCTAATGAGGTGTGACAACTTGGACTGCCTGTGAACTAATTCACCTATGACTATGATCAGTTGAGAAAATGAGATGTTAATTATTCACTGAATAGTAAGCACTGTAATCCTTTACAGTAGTTACGCCCAATTTACAAGAATGGATGCTATTATTAAACTGTTCACATAGAAATGAGTGAAATGAAGAGAGCAAAAAAGATATAACTGTTGAAAACTGAGTACTTTAATTGCTAAACAATCATTTGGACAATCCACATCATTGTGGTTGTTGACTACACAGTACACCAAATAAGAAATCATATCTTAAACACAATCATACTGTAAGTGTCAAAGGGTGGAGCAAACAGTAAATAATTAATCAGCAATAATACAGGAATAGTAGAATATATAACAGTAGTTAATAGGTCCACTAGGAGCTTACAATAGAGGCAATATAGAAATTTAACAATAAATATATCCACTGACTATACAATTAAGATATAAACAATAACAATAATTCGTAAAATAACCGCGAGTTTCGATTTTCTTTATATTCCCAGTTTCATAACATTCAAGTAATGGGGTTTATTTATTTTTGTAGTCAATTAGCTCGAGACTGGTAGGTCCTGGGTTCGAATCTCGCGAGAGCGGGTTCGTGGATGCGCACTGCTGAGGAGTCCCATAATAGGACGAAACGGCCGTCCAGTGTTTCCAGGTTTTCCATGGTGGTCTAGCTTCAATTGACTCATGCTTTCTACTATGAAAAATTAGCCGGGTGTTTAACCACTTTAGCTAGCAGATCACGATTGTTCCTCTTATGTGTATGTAGCCAATAATACATTTAAATTAATGGACGTAATGAAATGTGATTTGATCATTTACACGCTGTTTTGGTTTCTCGATAAGATATTGATTTTGACTTTTCGATAATGGAACGCTAGATAGCTATGAAAAGTCCTGCAGATCACTTACTTAAGTTTTCGTTTCAACATGAGACTACTTCAATCAGCTCTGAATGGTAGTGTGATATAGACACGCTTTTTTTTAGTGCCACCAAACACATAGTAGTTTTCGTCATATCGATACTTTTCTATCAGTTCAAGAACTCCATAGAATAACAACTCTTCATCCTTGTCTCTGTTAACAACTTTACATTTTCCTCAATAGTATCGTGAATGTAACTTATGAATTTATATGAGAAGAAATTCAATGAAATAAAATATTCATTGTCAATATTTAACAAAAAATAGCTTAACCTAATTGTTTAAACCTAGAAAGGAAGGCCCAGGACATAGTGGATTGGAGAATGCTGGTCGGTGGCCTATGCTCCATTGGAAGTAACAGGCGTTAGTAAGTAAGTAATTATAAAAACAATGGTATTCTTTTAAAACTTTAGCCTACCTTCAAGACCATCATCATTTATGGAAGAACCTTCAAAAGATAAATGTTTCAGTGTACGATTTTTTCTAATACCCTACATAGAATAAAACAAATTTAATAAGCTTTTAAAATTATGATAAATGAAGAATTATTTTTAAAGTAAAGAGTTTATTATCACTAGTATTGTCTATATTGAACATGTACACCGAAAAGGTACTGCTTGAAAGTGCAGACTACTTGTTTGAAGACCATGTGATCATCACAACCAACAGTTGTAGGATTTTGTTCAGATGGATCTAGTAGTGATTTTGCTAGGTAGATTCATAGCATACAAATATCATGGAGTTGATTGTTTGTATTATTTGATGAACTGTCAGTTCGTAACTAGAGTACACATTTTGTTTCCGTTCAAATATTCACTACTTAATCATTTTTTCAGTAGTCAAAAACGATTTATACAGATTATTAGGAATAATCATTGATAGTTGAGTTCGTAAGTCAATTAAAACTAAAACACCATGGAAAACCTGGAAGCACTGGACGGCAGTTTGGTCTTACTACGGGACTCCTCATCATTGCGCATCCATGTGTCCACATGCGGGGCTCAGACCCAGAAACTTAGGTCTCGCGTACGAACGCTTAACCTCTAAACCACTGAGCTGGCATCCAACGGTGTTAATGTCTAACTTCAACCAATTCATGAAATCGAATCACCATCCACCATTGACTTCAGTGAGTTACTATCTCACAACAGACTCAGATGAACTTCACTGATCACGTCTACTCACTAGAACTCCAGGAAATACCTCTTGAAGCCAGTCATTAGTGTGCATATGAAGATTATAATCAGAAAGGGGTTTTGTAGATATTATAGTAATTTAATAGTTGAATTCATAAGTCATCATGGATAACCTGGAAACACTGATTATAAACATCAATGATGTTAGCAAGATTGATATTACTGAGAAAATAACACATAAACTTATACTTTCATGTATAATTTAGTGTCCAATATAGAAAAAGTGATTTTTCATACTAGTAGGGAATAATTATAATTGTTTTCCATATTTGTATAAGTAGAATATAAGGAAACATGGAATAATCGAGGAATCATGACACATTTGTTTCCATAGGACATGTATGTATGTGGATAAAATTTACAAAACTGATAGTAACCACCAAAAACCAATGATGAATTAATAATATGGTAATACTTGAAGACAATATGGGGAAATGTAAATAATAAATTAAACTGATCAAACGTTTTAATGAATGACGTTGGGAATGATAAGACTGGTCGTTGATGAGATGAAAGTTTCGGATTTTGAAATCAATGAATGGAAAGGTGATCAATTGATAAACTCAATGATATGATGTGTGTTCGAGTAATGGCTGCTAACGAGGACGAATTTCTGGCTGAAGCCGTCAAATGATTAGCAATCAACGAGAAGACCACTGGCTAACAAAATCACTTGTTTATACACGGAATATTAAAATAAAATAAACATGATAATGTATCATAAGTGACTGGAAGAAATTAGCTTGTAGGTGACTCATTCTCTAATCAATTAAGATCTTAGCGTTAGGACCAATCTATGAGCACTGTATCAATAACTGCGAATTAGAAATGAAAACTTGACTAAAATTAACTATGAGGATTTGACTTCAATGGAAAAGAAATGTGTTAGGCAATGTTAACGTTGTTTAACACTCAATGATGAACAGATCTACAAGCATCAGTCCTACTGGAGGTCGGCTGAGAGTAAGGTCTAAAAGATCCCTTACGATCCCTACTTTACGGTGCAGTAGCTGTTTAAGTTTAGATGAACCTTTCTCATTTTCTTATCGGTCTTTTACAAAGTTTCTGGTATTTCATTGTTTTAATCAATTAAAATGGTATATTCATAGTTGAAAGCGTGCCTCAATTGAAGCTAGACCACCATGGAAAACCTGGAAGCACTGGAGGGCTTATTTGTCGTATTATGGGACTCGCAATCGCGAGATTCGAACCCAGAACCTACCAGTCTCGCGTCAGAACACTTACCCGATAGACCACTGAGCCGGCTTCCAACGGTGTTAATGTCTAACTTCAACCAATTCATGAAATCGAATCACCATCCACCATTGACTTCAGTGAGTTACTATCTCACAACAGACGTGGTTTGAACTCCACTGAACACTGCTTCTCACTAGAACTCCTGGATTTACCTTTCGAAGTCAGTCACTAGTGAGCACATGATTATTATTATCAGAAGGGGTTTTATGGAGATTTAGTATTTTCATAGTGGTGGTCTAGCTTCAATTGACCTACGCTTTCAACTATGAAAATACTAAATCTCCACAAAATCCCTTCTGGCAATAAAATGGTATATCCTGTTTGTTTGTTTTTTATTATTTACAATAAATAGTAGATAAATCAGTTTTTTTAATGAAAAATCAACGATACTACTTACTTCACAAATTTGTAATAAACCTGTTCTACTAAGTGGAAGATTTTGTAATTCTAAAAATGTTAATTTTTCTGTAACACATGCACATTGACGTAATGATTTGCATAAATTTAATAAAAGCTTTGAACTGGATAGTAAAACTGGTGGACGTCGTCGACTGGTTGAAGTTACACTGTCTAGATAATGGAAAAACAATAACATTTGTAGATCTATCCAATTAAAATTAGTGTTAGTCTCATAAAAAGTGTATAATGTTATCAGTCAGCCATCATCAACGTAGAGTCTGACGTAATATGAATTGTTACGGGCTGCCGTACCACATTATCACTGCTGGGATGATCCTGAAAAATTCTCGCAATCGACATGACAAGCTCAAGAAAGATTAAGAAGCATTTTATCCAATCAACGTCTGATTAGAAGTTTTGCTTAGAAATATCGCGAAAATGAAAAGTCACTTGTAAATGTTCCGATTGGCTGATTACTACACTGTTACTATGTTTAGTAGTATTCTAGAATTTTCAGGAAAACCCAAGGACTTCTAAAATACTATAAAAACATTATATTTACTGTACATAAATGAACCTTTGGAGTAAAGTGCTTCTCGAATATTTTGTGCCTTTTCTCTCGTGTTCAAGTCGTTGTGTAGTTCTAGCTTGGGGTTTACGAGACTAGCTTAGGATCTGAATATAGCGTTCAATCAGCAAGACGTATTAATCACTACAAGATGAATAGCGAAAAAGTTTGATGGTAACTAGAATAGGAATAGAGGACCTGTATTTTCCCCGTTTGGAACTTGTCGGTTGACTAGATATTGACATTTACACAAATATGCAGTCAGTTTACGGTATCATTACTTCATAGCAATATGATAAGAGAGAGTAAAATTAAGAAAATGAAATGCATGAAAAGTTAATATGAGAAGAGTTAATATGAACTTTCAAATAAAGTTTAAAAATGAGATTAAAGGATGAAAAGCAATAAAGTTAAGATTTAAGGGAAAATAGAAAGTAAAAGCAGCTGAATCTCAGTGATGGATGTCACTCAATGTTTCTAACCATACATTATGACTATCGAGTGGGTCCCAACTAAGAAGTCTGGATTTACCAATATACAATTATATTGACAGTGAATAGCTTTCATAAACTGATTCCTGGTTTGTATCTACTCACTGCTAGCCCAATTTACACTGAACACTGAGACGGACGATAGATAAAGAATAGTTAATATTATGCCCAAACCACTTTGTGACAAAGATTTCTACTCTCCTTAATTTGGCTATTTTTACATAATAACTTACACATAATTCCAGTATTATTCACTTGACAGTTTCAACGTTTTTGAGGGATGTTTCAAAGATAACTACAAAAAAATACTTGTAGTTTACACTGTCTTACTTTAGTGGTCCTAAATCTAACTCCATTTGAATCGTGTGAATGATTGTTATTGAAATGATTGCTGTCGAAATATACATATCACCAATCTTTGTATGTAATCATCGACTTAACTGGCGTTGGCGAATAACGGAATTAAATTAGTCAAATACGATAATGGATTTTTGAATACGTATACTTCGTACAATCGTTGTTTGGAAAGCGAAGCAAAACAAAATGACGCTCAATGGACCCATCAGGAGTTAGCTGACGATAAAAATTGCTTTCGATTTAAACAACAGAAGTAAACGTTTGAGGAGTTTACTTATATGATAGAGTTTTTGGTGTGTTATTTCAGCGGTCAATAGAATAGTGATATTGACCTAAATACTAGGAAATGCAAAGTTGCTAACTGTAATGAATATATGTGTGTAAGTGATAGAGCTATGATGAGTAGAAGTATTTGAATTAATGAGCCAACTAAGAATGCCCAGAGTAGTACTATCTCAGGCAGGTAGAACTAGAGGAACATAAATGAATGTATTATGTCAGTCAGTCAGTCAGTCACAACGTAGAACTTCGTACGTACGTACATCAGTTCGAGTTGCCATACCACATTAGCACAGAGATGCAGTTGTCGATTCAAATCCCATAGTGGTAGAAGTAGTAGGAGTATAATCAGAAATCCAAAAGATTAGGGTTTGAAGAAATTATTGAAGGAGTATAGTACAGTGAAATAAATTTGGAAAGAGAAAAAGATAAAGACATGAGGAATTCAGAAGATTAGAATTTGGTAGAACACAAAGAGTGGATACACCTTCGCCATTGCAAACGATTTTGAGCCATGTCATTCAAGGTCTCTAACCATCGGTTGCTGTCATCTCGCGAATCCCAACCAGGTAGTCTACACCTACCAACATGGCCCAGTCCACTTGTCAGTGACTTCATTGATTTGTGCCACGTTTTGGTCTGGCCACCCCTAGCTTTCTTCCAACCTACTCCTACACCATGAAACATTGCACGTCGGGGCAGTCGGTGGTCGGGCATACATAACACATGTCCCAGCCATCTCAACTGATGAAGTTTCACTACTTCATCAATCGATTTGCCATCCCTACCTAGTACTCGTTTCCTAACAACTGCATTACTTACCCGGTGGTCCCAGAATATACGAGCAATGCTTCGAAGACACCTATGATCGAACACTAGTAGCCTACGAATATCCTCTACTCTTATTGGCCATGTTTCACTGCCATAAAGTAGGACGGAGCGAACTGCTGCACAGTAAACCCGTCCTTTGGTTGCTAGACGGATATCTCGCCTACGCCATAAATGACGCAAGTTGGCGAAAGCTAGACGAGCCTTCTGTATCCGTGCTGAGATTTCGTCACATACCAGACCACAAGGGCTGATGAGACTTCCAAGATAAGTGAAGTGGTCTACACGCTCAACTACTTCACTCCCTATCATTAGTTCAGGTGTCGATGCAACCCAATCCTGAAGTAACATTTTGCACTTCGAGGGAGAGAATCGCATCCCGAACATGCCTGCATAGTTGCTTATAGTGGTCAGAAGACTCTGCATGTTGTCAGCGTCTTCACCGAGTAAAACTATGTCGTCGGCGTATTCTAAGTCAACAAGTGAGCCTCCTGGTAAAAGTCCAACTCCTGGAGGTTTAGCTGATGAAAGTGCTATCTCTAAAAGTAAGTCAATGACAAAGTTAAACAAGAATGGGGAGAGTGGACAGCCCTGACGAACGCCACTTGTGGTAATCAGTTCTGATGACAGTTCGCCATAGGCTCTAACTCGACCAGTTGTGTTCGAGTAGGGAGCCTTTATGAGGTTAATGTACTTCTTTGGTACTCCTTTCAGTGACAAACATTGCCATAGAACCTCACGATCAACAGAGTCAAATGCCGCCTTAAGGTCAAGAAATACTACTATTGTGGGACGTCTGAATTTGTGTCTATGTTCTAGAACCTGACGTAGGGTGAATATCTGGTCTATGCAACCACGTCCAGGTCGAAAACCAGCTTGGTTTTCTCTAGTCTGCTCTTCACGAGCTTTGGTTAGGCGACCTAGTATTATTGAAGCTAATATTTTAGACACTATATTAGTCAAACTGATCCCTCTGTGATTGTCACAAGAGGACTTTTGTCCTTTCTTATAAACTGGCACAATCAGTGATTGGGACCAGTCAGATGGAATTACGTCCAGTTCCCAGATTCTACCTAAGACCTCAGTCAATCTCACTGCTAGTACTGGACCACCATCCTTAAAAATCTCAGGGGTCAACCTGTCAGGGCCTGCTGTTCTCCCTAGCTTCAGATTTCCTATAGCTTTTTCAACCTCACAGAGGGTTGGAGGACTTACATCAATTTGCCATTCAGGACGACTGGGGATCGTGGGTAATTGAAGTGTGGCTGAAGGCCAGTTGAACTGATCCCTAAAGTGTTCTGCCCATCGATCCAACCTCCTGGATTGAGAATGAATAATATGCCCATCTTTATCTGAGATGGTTTCACTGATATTCGGGTTCCTAATACCGGTTTCTTTAACGGGTCTGAATAGCTGCCTACTGTTACCTATTGCCGCTGCCTTTTCCATCTCTCTTGCTTTCGCTACCCACCACTGTTCACGATCATTACGTAGACTTCTTATAAGCCTGCGATTAAGTTGACTCCGCTCTTCGTTATGCTCAGAGCCAGGTGGGATGAGTTTACGAGCATCTATCAGTGCGGTAGATGCTGCCGAGATCCATTGTTTCTCCCTAACGTTATGGTTTACCTTATTAGCGGATATCACTGCTGATTCCACAGCTTTTCGGATGTCATTCCACGCTGCCTCGGGGTGGACACAACTTACATGGCTGCCTAACTGTTTTTCTAGTTGTTCCTGAAATATATTCTTAGCTTGCCTACCATTAAGTAGAACCCTTAGAGGCTTCCCTGCAGTGTTTTTCCTACGTCCAGTAAGACGCAGACAAATACGTGCTCGCACTAGAGCATGATCTGAAATTAAACATGTGCCCCAGAATGAGCGACAGTCTTCTATCGAGCCCCTCCATCGGTGGCTGATAGCGATGTGATCTAATTGGGTCCAACGTTGGGACGAATTCGGGGGTCGCCAGGTCAAAAGATGTTTTTCCTTATGCTTAAAGTTAGTATTTGCAAGAAATAGGCGGTTATCTGAGCATAGCTGCAACAGACGGTCGCCATTATCTGTTCTTTTCGCCATGACACCATATAATCCACCCAGGTGTCCTTCCCTTTCACTTAGTTTACCTACTTGAGCATTAAAGTCACCTGCTACTATTACTACATCAGAACGCCTAGCTTCTCGGAGAAGGTCAGAAAGTTTCCTGTAGAACTCATCTTTTATATCGTCTGAGCTGCAGTCAGTGGGAGAGTAGGCAGAGACGACGAAGAGGCAACGACGAATTTCCCTATCTTTCCGAGTCCTTACTGATCCGTTTAGTCGAACAGCGCATAGACGACTGTCTACTGGGATCCAGTCTAAAAGAGCTAGTTCTGCCCTAGGACTTAATGCTATACCTACTCCAGCGAGGCCACGGGAAGCAGCGTCAGGGCTTCCAGATACACGGAGCGTGTATCGAGATAAAACTTTATTTTGATTAGGTGCGGTCAAATGAATGACACTACTCGGATCTTGTATGCGCGTTTCGGAGACGCAGCACACATCGATGGTGTAAGATTCTAGAGTCCTAGCTAAGGAAGCCTGTTGTCCTATTTGGCACAATGTTCGGACATTAAAAGTTCCTATATGTAGTTTAGAGCGTGGTTTCAGGAGACCAGGAATAACGTTCTGTGTACTCGAATCGTTTGCCCTAGCGGTGCGACGCGATAAAAGGACGTGGGAAGGGTTAGTCGAGGAGATAACAGAGTTATTAGGTGTAGGAAGGATTTGAAAGCGACCAACTTGGTCTTGTGTGCAGTTAAGGGTATGAGGGCTAGTATCACTTCCCGGCTGCCCACACCGTGGAAGGGTATTTCTTGAGGGACCTGAAAAAGAAGTTGGATTAGTGTTGGTCTTAACGACCTGGGAGCGTGACCGCAGTGCCCAAGGGACATCTGCTTGAGGCCGGTCACGCACGGCCTTTTTGTGGGGGATTTTTGACGTGTTAGCTCCGTTCTTCAAAAGTCCTTACCGCCGGAGACGGAAATCCGTGGGATAAGGCGAGGTGTGCATTTTTAGGGTCGACATATTTTAACCCCACCCCTCCTTGTGGGAAGGCAGCATCGCTGTTATGCTGGTTGTCTGAAGGAAACACCTTACTGCTTTCACACCTCTGTACAGTCAGCAGTACGACTTCGCCTTCGGACCTTGGGATTGCTGCTTTTAGTCTCACCGCTCTTCAACCGACCTGTCTGGCATGGTAGGACCTTGAGGAACGATTGTTCCAGCCAGCATAGCTCGATTGGATCATCACGATAGGCAAGCTCGACCACCACGTCAAGGTAGCAGCAACGGTCGGGGAATGTATTATGTATGGAATTCATAATTAGCGGGCGATCAATTACAAAGAAATCTTTAATTCGTGCAAATACCACAACAGCGTTAGCTGCAATAATAGCGTTTTAAAATGTAGTTCCAAGTAAATTATTTCTCAGATTATAGTTAGCGTGCCAGTGTCCTAAACAACAGATTTTATTCCCGAAATATAAAACCAAACGAGGTCAATATAATAGAAAAATGCCTCCCATATCAGATTACGGTTCATATCTAGCTGCTTAATACCTTGAAGGAGTTGCTTTAAATTTAAGATGGCTGAAGTATTCAATACCAAGATCAAACTTCCTGCTAGTCATCAAGAATGTTGTCCCTGTTAATGTAAATAATTCCCCAAAATCAATAGTTCATTAAGTGTTCGACATTGGATGCTGACCACGTTGTTTAAGTGGACTTGTTTAGCTGAAGGCTTTCGGTCATGCATCCGTACCAGATCACGTTTCAACACGGCGTGGGACACAGCTCCTACGTTTCATTAGCCAGCTTATAGAAAAGGTCCTCGATATATTGGTAACGAATCAAATATATCTTTCCTACCTCTTCTCGTCTGATTTCTGATTTCTATCTGACTGGGAACGATCGAACATAGAAGGTGCTACTGGTAACTAGTTGTAAAACTAGAACATCCGTTGCATCATCATCCCCAATCCTTTCGGCAACATGAAATATTTAGGTAGTGAGGACATCCTTTACAGATGACTATAAAATGATATAAACAATACGTCTACAGCTCCCCAACAGTTCAGAATGTGAAGCGTTTACTACAAGTAACAGGACCGAATCACTCAATAAAGTAGATGTTTACGAAATCTAGTTGGTGAAACTCAGATAGTCGGCATTGAATTGTACAGTAAAATAATGACTACCTTTAAACGACTGAATGCAACTACACATCAGTTGTCAAACAACATAGCACAAGTAAAATGGGAAAAGCCATTTCTACAACCTTTACTTTAAAAGTAAATATAGAACTAACAAGCAAGAAATAAAGACATAAGATCGATGAAATAACGCAAAACCAAATGCTCACCTGAAACACCATTATACTGATAGAAGCTTCTGACTGCAATAAAATGAAGGCTTTTATTGATTTTAATGGCATCAAAAACTGGGTCCCACTCTTGAGTCCTTTAGAGAGTTGAGAATAAACAAACTTTGTCTCACTTTATTCTATCTGCACTTATGTCAAGAACGCCGTTATCAACGTGACTTGTGATTGCAGAAAGCGGGGAGAAATTTCTCAGCGCACATAGATTTTCATAATATTTCCTGAAATCATAAGCTCCAGCTTGACGTTCCTTTACAGTTGGTATCATTAACGTGAGCCGCAAACTCGTGTAATTCTAAAGCGTTTTTCAACTTTGGTTGCTGATATATTTATTTTTTGTTCAAGAATGCGTCTTGTAGGGGTGTAAGTATTAGCGATAACCTATGGGATCAAAAGAACATGATGAAACCACGAACAACGACTAATTAAACTCACTAGATGAAACCTTTTTCATCAATAGAGACAAAAATCAATATCTGATAATATGCGAATGTAGTATACTAGTAAACCCAATGATAAAGTGCAAAACTGGGAGATTATAGTTTCAAATGTCGTACAGTTTACCTTTTTCAATTAGTGCACTCAAGGTCGCAAAGTAATTTAGAGAGTAAAACAAAACCCACTCTTTACAAAGGTACAAGAAAGGTGTTGAGTACGGCTCAACCATTTTGAAAACTTTGTATGCTTAAGTCATCATATCACAGTCGTTGCTTTAAAGCTGGTTAGTAAATCATCATAAACTTTAACCACATTCCAAATATACCACAAAAATACTACCCGTGGCTGCTATCCTCACATTTAAAGGCACTAGTAAACATATATGAACATGGTAGGCACAGGAAACCCTTGTGTCTTGCTACTTCAGATACATGATTAATGTCAGCAATGTATGACAGTGAAATTCGATTCCTAGATTTCTTACGATAAAGATCTGACCGACTCAACCTTAAGGGTGCGGGGTAATCCACTACACAAAATAGCGCACTAACCATACAAGCTGTGAGCAAAGTGGCACATGACTCAAAGATTTGTGAACTGGCACACTGCCGGCAGAAATGCACAGAGCATGATACAATGTCTCAAGCTTTATTCCAGTACATTAGAGATCCGAACAGATATTGCCTACAAAACTGCTCACCTGTCTTGAACTCAGTCTTCAGACAAAATGATAATATCCGTCATATGAAGTTACTTCCCATATAGAGAGGAGCGATCATGAACTCATTTTATTCAAGTTCATGGCTGATAAGGTCCGTCAAGTAGTTGCATCAGTCAGCTCCTACATATGGAAGGCAAACATAAAAGCTGTAATGCAAGTGAAATATCACAACCCCTAAGAAATCACCTGGCAATCAGGTCGCTGAATGTCGGACAGTTCACCGAACCTTGTCAAGTTCGAGCATAACCAACAAGCATCCGTTATTTGAACGCCATGGACTGGCCCATGCAGCAGTGGTGGCACCTAGTCCTCTGTACTTACTTTTATTAATATATTTCTGTAACAACATCATTCTTACTTTATTACTAACCGTTAGGTGTGAGTGAGAAGTTAGCTGGTTGTCCATATTATTCCAATCTAATATGAATAAGTCCTCAGTCAGAGACATGGATCATAAAGGTTAAAGATCCTAGGAGTTATTAACTCTAAAGACTCGAATAAAAACTAGCAAACTGACTCTGGTACATCAGTAGGAGAAGTGTGGACTCATTTCCGTCAGATAGACACTCAAGTAACTCAACCATTTATACCATGAGTAGTTCCAAAGATGAAAAAGCACGGCCAAAACTGGATAACCTATGAAATCTGACTTTTATCATAAAAAATTGTTGGATTGCCGCCATCAGCTTTGGCACACCAAATAATCGTATAGACACAATCCAAGCAACTCAGCGACGATATGAAAAGCATTCAGCAAAATCTGTAGTCAAATAGCCGAGAAAACTGTTCTGGTACATAAATTACTAAAAGAGGACACACCATTAAATTGAAAACTTACTACAAATAGAATACATCTCAAATGACAGAGGAAGAACAGATCAAAGTAGAGGTCATGGTAGAATATTTCGAGGTAGTTTTTACTCGAAAGCCTCTTCTAGAGGAATGTTTAGATCCAAATACAAAATCGGCTGCTCACTGAATGATTTGATCAAAACGATGTTTTAAAGGCCCTCAGCACATTAGACACGTAAGAATCAGTGTGAACAGATGAGTTACACCCTGAAATCGTGTAACAGATTGTACACTACAGTGTTGTTCAGCCAAATACGATGTTCAATATCACAGTCTAGATTAGGTACCTATGAACTGGAGGGGTAGCTCATAGGACAGGATTAAGACAATTTTCATAAAATTACAAACTTATCAGCCCCACTGATGTCGTAGTTAAAATACGGAACAGGAAAATCAAAAAGTCACGAGTGACAGTCGTGAAAACAAATAACTTATCAAACAGAGAACAAAATGGTTTCAGAAAAATGTTAACTTGTACAACAAACCTCCATATATCAAAACAGAAATGGAAGGGGTGGAAAATCAGTGTTTACTACCTGCATAGATTATGTCAAGGCACTTCAAAAGGTGCCGGATAATAGATTCCTCCTGAAGATGGAAAATCTGGCAACTACCCGACTTCTCCTGGAGTGGTTCAATAATTTCATTGTAGGTAGAGGGCAAACAGTAAGAGTAAATTTCAATTGCTCCTGATGGATAGTAGTGATATGTAGAATACCCCAAGGCTCTATTTTAGGTCCTTTACATTTTTACTGTGTGTAAATGAATTCCCAGGCACAGTTGAGTCCCAAATGCTACTTTACGTAGATGACGTAAACATTTAATGTGCAATAAGGGTAGGTACAGCTGCATGTACATTTCAGGCGGACTTATATGTTCCCGTTAGCTTGTTTAGTATTCATGAATCTTATTTACCTGCTCCTGCAGGCTCTTGGGGAGTGACATATGCAGTCCACCAGTATTCCCCATCGAACTCTATACTGGGCAATCCTTTGCAATTTCTCGTTCTTTTAATGTCTGCTTCCAATTATCGTTCTAGTGTGTTCTTTGATCTTCCTTTTTTCTATTTCCCTTCATGATTCCAAGTTAGCGCGTGTCTGGTGATGCAGTTTGAAGATTTCTGTAATGTATGTCATACCCACCTAAAAGTAAAAGTTTCCAACACTTCCAGAGCTTTTGAATCGAGTGTGATTGGGTTGGTGTTCTCCGTGTTGTATTGGAGTATTTTTGTTTTTTCCTTGTTTTTATTGAGACCTACTGCTGCTACCACACTGATTGTCTTCTATTGCCTTTGTTGGTATATATGATATAGAAGAACTAGGTCATCGGCGAAGTTTAAATCGTTTAGTCATATGAAAGCTGTTCATTGTATTCCGTGCTTCCTCCCAGGTGTAGAGATCTTCACAATCCAGTCAACCAATAGAAAAAAGAGAAAGAGAGAGCGTAAACAACCTTGTTTGACACCAGTCCTCACTTGGAATGCGTCTACAGCTTTCCTCCATGGACCGATTTGCAGTGCAGTTCGTTGTTCGAATTCCGAATAACATTGACGATATTCTTAGGTACACCATAGTGTCGGAAATTTTTCCATAAGGTTCTTCTATACAACACTATCTAATGCCTTCTCATAGTCGGTGAGTTTGCTATATACTGACAAGTTCCATTTAAAAGTTAGCAACTACTGAAGAGTTTATATATCCGTAGCTCTTCAAGGGTTTATGCTGGTCCCAATACCAAATAGAGAATTAGGGCTTCACACGTGGTCAATAACCCCATCCTGTACAAAACAACCTTGGTAAAAAGACGCTAATCAGAATAAAAAATTTGAACCATTTAGGCGCTGCCCTCAGAGTTGAAGGATCTTCATACAGAAGAATTACGACGCATCGTGGTGAAAGTCAAGATTCAGCGGAAGTCAAAAGGCCGATACCCCTTCTAATAACCAGAGTACTAGCGGATATAAGTACGTGGAATGTCTGAACAATGACAAAATACAACCCTAGGAGGTCATAACATGAAAGCTACGTTCAAACTGCAAGCTCCTGTTTAATGTTACCAAATATCTTGAAAAAAAGTCCAAAGTTAACTTCACACAGTGCGTACTAAGTAACTAGATCTACTTTCTCTGTCCTACTGCAGATTAAGAGGTGATATGATTTTGATATATATGATAGAAAGAAGTGATTTCAGACCTGATTTTTCATCTAGTTTTCTTACCAGATCGAAACAACTGAGAGGACATAGCACAGCAGCACATAATTCACGAACAAGGCGATACATGTGATATACAGGGGTTCACAGTGGGTCATCCGCCCTTGAAACCTGTTACCCGGAGAAGTACTGAACATCTCTATGATTGAAGACTAGACATTCACAGAATCTTACTAGAAAAGTTCGAAAACAGGCCTTAGGTCTTCTTTTCTAAACACACAAATTGGAGTCAAAAATCAAATCTAGATCTGCATGTGGAAAAATGGCATACCAGGCATATAAAATATTCTATATCCTAGTGTTTTTGCTATCGCAGTAGCCAAACGTTTAGTTGATAAAGTCCAGTCTGTGGCGCGATATCTTGGGTATCATCTTTATGCACAATTATCATAAGATGAAGGGGGAAAAATGAACAGGTTGGGAAGCAGCTTAACTACTTATCAAATAAGTGGATTTACGTGTATGAAATTAACTAATGGTCCACTGTGATGATAAACAGCGTCATTTTCGAAAAATTGTCTAGGAGCACTGCGTTATAAACTACAGCTTTCTCTTGGATAGATTAAGAGACAACATTATCAATGAGTCTTTCAGAATTGAATGAATGATCAACGGAAATGAATCACGGAGGCACTCAGTTTCCAGTTATTGTGAAGTAGTTTAGTGTTCATCGCTTCTACCTCTTGATTTCACTGGGTGGGCACGATTCAATTATAGAAGGTGTCGCTGGTTTAAGTGTTGTTAAATTACAATAATTGTGGTATCTCCACCGTCAAGTGTGACGACACAAGTTCCCTAAGTACTTTTATCAGCCCTTGACTCCAACCAAATATCATGTAATGATGTCTGCTACCGACGGCATGGTAGGAGAGGAAAAACACCACTGAGGACTAAAGTCAGGAGTAAAAGTGGGCTGTCGAAGGAGTCCGTCAAGAAATATGTACTGATTCCAGGATGCGCGTCTATTTCAAAAAATTCGGTGAGATAGGAGATGCAGCAAACTGTCATAACCTATCGCCTACTGATACGCATAGACCAGTTCAGGA